AGCCGAGCCTTGCGGGGAGCAAAGAGGAGCCGCCGCCCGCGAGAAGTGGCAGCGGCGGCGGCGGCAGCGCCAAGGAGCCGCAGGAGGAACGGAGCCAGCAGCAGGATGATATCGAAGAGCTGGAGACCAAGGCCGTGGGAATGTCCAACGATGGCCGCTTTCTCAAGTTCGACATCGAAATCGGCAGAGGCTCCTTTAAGACGGTCTACAAAGGTCTGGACACGGAAACCACTGTGGAAGTCGCCTGGTGTGAGCTGCAGGTAAAGCCCCACCTACTTCTTTATTGGAAGGTCCTCCGGATCCCACATTTGGCTTGGCGAAGCCAGTGGGTCGAGTTCACCCTTCACTGGGCGTTCTCTAACTGTTGGACTCCGAGTGGGAGGGGGAGGTCAACTTTTGAAAGGGGTTGAAATTAGGAGAATGTGGAGCATGTGCCTCGGTGTTGGGATAGGATAAGAATTGCTGGTAGCCAGAGGGATTTGCTACCGGGCAGGGGTGGTGAAGGTCATCTTAGTATAAACGAATTGTCTCCTGGTTTAGCGTCTGGCAGGGAACTTGGAATGAGTGGGGAAGGTGAAAGTACGGATGCTTCTTCCTCTGTGCGTTTCAGTCTCATCAAAGGCTCTGCAGTGATGAGCTGCCTCTGGGCGTAGAAGCGTGTTTCCATTCCTGAGATCAGGCTGTTCTTTTTAAATGAGAACGACCTTGTACTTTTGGATATCTCTTACTTGATGGTTGCACAGGCATTTAGTATAAAATAAGTATTAAAAAAGACTCTTCTCTGCCCCTTTTGGATGAATGCCTTGGCAGTAGTGACGTGCAAATAAATGTTTGATGTTGTTCTACCTAATGATGCTTAAGCCTTACAGTAGCAGCATTGCTCTGACATCGTTCGTTAAACTAACGTCTTTCAGCCCATTCACTATACAGCGAATAGTACAGGAGCCCATGCAAAATTGTGTAAGTGCTTTGAGAGTTGTAATGTCATCATCATTATTTTAATCTTATAAAATATTTTTAAGCTAAACTTTCCCAAGAGTCCAAAGGAGTCGCAATACTTCCTTTTTTAACCTCTAGTGGTGTAAATAATGGTGTGTCATTCTGGTTGACTAGTACATTCTAGGTTTAAACAGCTGAGTTTGCGCTACTTGTTGCTTGACTAACTGAAGCAGCTTGCTTGAATGTTGCCCTGACTGGGCATGGGTGAACATAGGTTATTAGTAGGAGCAGGGTTATACTGAAGGAAAAAAGTCAGCCACATTATGCATACATAAAAAAAATGTCATTAGACCAGCCCGATACAGGATATAAAAATAACTGAATGATCTTGGAACTTGTTTTATCCATGAACTAATATGTTAACATGTAACCCTTTGAATGTCAGGTTCCAAATAATTAAGGCCATATCAAATGTGAAATTAACACAGCATGTGGAAGTAAACTTAAAAACTAAGAAGTTCTTTACAAACATAATCATTTCTTAACTTTTACAGTTAATGATGTAGAACTTCTAAGGTAGTGTGAAATTAAAAGTACTCATTAATTTTATAGTATTTTAGAATTGGAAAGGTGACAGATCTTAAAAAAAAAAAAAACAACGAAAACTATTCCTTTTCGTCAGTCATACTCAAAAAACTTAGTCTGGGCCAGGCGCGGTGGCTCACGCCTGTAATCCCAGCACTTTGGGAAGCCAAGGCGGGTGGATCACGAGGTCAGGAGTTTGAGACCAGCCTGACCAACATAGCGAAACCCCGACTCTACTAAAAATACAAAAATTAGCCGGGTATGGTGGCACGCGCCTGTAATCCCAATACTCGGGAGGCTGAGGCAGGATAATAGCTTGAACCCGAGAGGCGGAGGTTGCAGTGAGTGGAGATCACACCATTGCACTGCAGCATGGTGACAGAGCGAGACTCTGTCTCAAAAACAGAAACAACTTATGTCTGATTCCTTTTGGTTTACAGGCAGAAATTTACAGAATTTACATTTCTTTCGACGCCTATTGCTACTGATGCTGGAATTTTATTCTTCCATTATAGTTTTATATTTGAATAGGTGCTTTTTAGCAATTTTTTTTTTTCCTTAACCGGTTACCTTACTTTTTTGAGACCGGACCCAATTACTTGTTGAGCACTTTATGAATTAATTTTGTTAGTTTTAATTATTTCACTTCTGAGACTTTTCAGAATGTGATGTGTGTTTTCCCTTTATCACCTGGAATTTTCTGATACTTTATTATCTTGGAACTGATAATACAGTGAAAAAAACTTAATTTGTCTAATATCATGATACAAACTTTGTCTAAGCTTCTCAGGTTTTCTTAGAACTGGTAGCTTTTTGGATTTTTAATTATCTAGGCATGGGCATGACTAAACTAAAGAAAATCTTATATTGCATATTATTTTTGAATCATTTCCGGATTTGGCTGCAGAACTAGATGAATCCTAGCTTATTAAGTGGTACCTGATTTAGAAACTTCCATGTCATTTGTCTGTGCCTCTATAATTTTTTGTTTTGATTTTGAAAAGATTATCCTATCTGAAAAATCCTTTATAGCAGCAGTTAGGAAGTATTTTTGGTTTTTTGACCAGGACAGTTGCACTATATGCCTAATAAAGTATTCACTGGGTCAGTGTTTGAACTTTTATCTTTGGAGCCAAATTAAAGGACAACCCCAAGGGATTACTAAAGCATTGGGAAGATAGAAACTTTTTCGCTAAATGTATCCTTTTAATATACACATATTTCTGAAGCAAGACAGGAGAATATTGTGTTAAGTTGTTGACTTAAAAATCTTAGTGTATTAAAACTGGAAGAAATCTTAGGTTATCCTGCCCAGCTATTTATTTGACAAATAAGAAAAGTGAAATCATAGAGCAGGTAAATAACTTGATTAGGTAGATGAAGAACAAAAGCTAGTTAGGATCTAATAATTTGGGAGATGATAAAGTATTTGTAGTCCAGTAGATGGCTAATAAGTAATTTCAAATGAAGCAATATTGTTTTGGTGTGGAAGTGGCTGTTGGATTTCTGGAGGAACCTGGTCCTATACCCATGGCAAATTTCAGGCTTCTGTTTTGGGTATTGATTTTCATCACTTCAAATTGAGATATAAATAGGCTTTCGTGGATGGGTGAATGTGGTATACAAATCAAGCTGTTTTCTGCCAAGCTTATTTTTTAGAGTTATGTTATACTATGCACTGCTCTTTAGTAAAACAAGCATCAATTCTTTTTTTTTTTTTTTTTTTCCCAAAAAAAAA